GACCGAAAGCTCTCCGATTATAACCGGAAAGGCTACCGAGCGTTCCCGACGGCGGTAGCGGACATTCCCGACTATATCCAAGATGGCCGCCAGCTTGTGCCGACTAGCTATTTTACTACTTTTCTGTCACGCTGTGGAATATTTAGGCTGATCTAAACATCAGCAACCCAGCCAATTGTGGAGATATATTGTAGGGAAGCTCGGGACAGCAAAAAAACGGGTCAAGAACGGAGCATCGAGCAGCCAACGGGAAATGTGCAGTTCTGCCAATGGATCTTTCCACGACTCTTGCTGAGGGTAATGCAATGTAAGCCCGAATCAAGAGTCGCCACGGCTAGGCTGTGTATTGACTTAATGTGTTACAGGTGTCCTGTAGCCTGTGCACATGTCCTGTGGTTAGGAGGCAGTCATCAGCTGTCCTGTCCTCCAGACTGTGCCATCAGCTGAGGGGGATGTCTTCAGACTCTGTCCCTCCTTCACGGCCGACACCAGAAAGGGGGGTAGGTCAACTTTGTTACCTCTATAGATGAATCTGTGAAGGTTTTGTTTTACTATAATGAAAGTTCATACCATACATATAATTTTTTGTTAAACATGCTTTATTATGTCAAAATTTGAAATATAGGAATCTCATTTATTTTGACCTGCCTTTTTTTGCCCTGTCGCAATTAGATTTGGAGTCAGCTGAGGATGTCACCCTTAATAAATTTTACTTGCTGTGGCCTTATGTTAAACACTGTAATTACAGAATAAGTAGTAGTAGACTGTGTAGTATTTCTTTATTTGCGTAATTTGCATTTAATTACAAAAAATTACAAATAATCATAAAAAATGGAGGTATTGTATTTGGTCCATCTGTGCGTGTGTGTGTTTTTTTGTGCATGTATGTTTCTGCACATTTGTAAAGATCATAACTTGAGAACGCCTAAGTTTGTGATTGTGATGAAATTCAGTATGTTGGAAGGTCGTAGGAAGACAAAGATCCAGGTCAAATAATAAAACAAGACAGTTTTTCCAACATCAGCAGAGCATTTAATCAGAATTAATCCATAGCAAAGCGTAAAGCTTTGTTTATCAGTTGTTTACTAACAATGAAAATGTGCTGTGGTTTACATGTTTACAAAAGAGGCATGACAATTAATAGTTTTACTTTTACTGAATAGTCCATGTTCCTGACATGCTTGCCTCTGTAGTTTAAATTTCTTGCACTGAATGAAAAGAAGGATATACCAATAATGATATAATACTAGTACTATATTGATAGTATGCATCAGCAAGTAAATCCCACTTTTCGTGCAGTGTTGTTTAATCTCAACATGTGAGGGCCATAATTATAACATCTGTGTCCATAATATCACCAGGGTCCATAATATCGCCACCTTGAGAAATAGTGTGCTTAAAGATATGTTTACTGCAACATACCCTATGTATGTACATTTGAGGTGTGCAGGAGTGCATACCAAAAGTATGTTGCAGTAAAAATATCTCAAAGCACACTATTTCTCAAGGTAGCGATATTATGGACCCTGGTGATATTATGGACACGGATGTTATATTAAGCCTCTCCATGGAGCCACTTTGGTCTCATGTTTAGAGCCTATCTTCAAACATGATCTCGAGGAACTCCTCTAGGGTCATCTCCTTGTCTTTGTCCCCGGCCCAGTGGTTCATGATCTCCATGGCCTTCCCTCCACCATACTTGTCAGCGTTGTCGGTGTAAAAGGTACTGGCCCTCTTTCGCATCTCCTCAAACGACATCTTCTGACTGAAATCCTGAAAAATAGGGAAAGGTTGATTTAGACATTTGGCCAAAAGTGAGACAAAAGTGAGACATTTAAGGCTTCCAGTGAGAGATTTGCTACATTTGGAAAATGTCGCCGTTTGGATTGCCCCCTTTTTGCAACATTCTCATTGTTTTTGTCTCACTTGAATCTACTCTACCTAGCCTGGTAACCTCGCCGTGAGCTCAGCGCTATCCCTTCGGCGCCGAGAGCGTTTGGGGCCACCAGCCAGGCCTCAATTACAGTGCTTTGGGGGCAACAGAAGACTAAGCATAATACAGGAAGTCAGCGGATACAGGGAAACCAGCTGGAGTTATTTCCTTGGTATAACTCGCGCGATCACCTGTGCTTGGTAAAGGCTGGAGCCAAAAAATTACCGCCAAGCTGACCAAAGGTTTGGTACCCAGGCTAAACTCTACTCTAGATGTTAACCTGGATACCAGCCTTTTTAGCTGTAGTGTGCTCTTTTGGTCGCTAATACCAGTGCAGCTGCCAAAAACTGGCCCCTCACATAACTCATCAATCTGACTGTTGGGTGTTTGAATATTTAAGATTTGAAGAGCTCGTCCTAGAATGTACTATCTAACCATAGCAAAGAAGGCTGGTCTAGCAACTGACATTCTCATTCGTATCTATCTGGTATTCATCCGCCCTTTGTTAGAATATGCGAGTCCAGTATGGGCAGGACTGCCTAAGTACCTGTCAGACATGCTTGAAAATGTACAGAAACGTTGCTGTAGGATTATAGGAATCCCTGCTGAATCCCTGCCTCCTTCTGTGTCTATGAGACGAGACCTTGCCACATTGAAAACTATCCAACATGTCTTGAATGACGCTGACAACCCTCTGCATGACTTTGTATGTGTAGCGCCTCAAAGCACATACAACTTAAGACGAAGGAAACAGTCACGCTCCACATTCAGTAGAAACGTCATGAACTATCGTTTATACCACGGGCTTTGAAGATATTATCTCAGCATTCTACATAGTGGTATATTGATTTTATATAATAGTCTGTAAATATGGCTCTTTTGATTATTATGACTGTATTATATGTATTCTGTAAATTGGTGATCAATGACCAGATTTTAATATTATATCTCTGTCATTTTAACTTATTGGAGAGTCCATGATACATGCAGTGTTTGTGAAAATTCGACATATTTCATGTACCATATGATTGGGTGACATGCCAGTCGATTTTTAAATAAACTGAAACTGAAAGAGGGGCACTGATTGGCCAAAGTACAATATAGTTTCAATAATGATAATTATCACAAAAACTAACCTCGTCAAACTCCACGAACAGCATTGTGAGATCAGACATCTCTTGAAACACCGCAGCGATATCGGCTGCTTCGTCTTTTGTCACCTTCCCATCAGAATTGGCGTCACACTTATTTTTCACTCGCTGAAAGAAAGACGCAATATGATTTTTAAAGGCTAATAAACCCTTGAGGTCTCGTGCAAAAATACTGCCAACCTTGTTACTGTTCAATTTTAGGGTCAGCTACTAGTATGCTTTGCTACATTATGCTGCAAAATTAATTCATTATGGTTCTTCAATGCTGCGTAAATTTACATTTAAGTCACATATTGTAGAATTTTGGCACTGTCAAATATTTTGAATCATTAAATTTTACCATATATTTTGTAACATTCTAGGTTTCGTACCATATTTGTCCTTAAGAGTAAGAGTTCTTTTAAATAATGTGAGAAACACTTTTTGGGTGTAATATTTCTTCCATATAATCAAATCAACATGGCCTAATTTACCTCCACAAATTTCTCTGATGGTTTTAATTGGATCATTTCTAGCAAGGTGGCGATCTCAGATGAGTCAATGGTGCCGTCACCGCTCTTGTCCAACTGCGTAAATATTTGATCGACGTCCATGTTGCGCTGAAAAGTAAAAAAAAAATTAGGCCACACCAATTTAATTTGTTGGTTCTCGGATTCGCCTCTTCATTTTTTCCTGATTTGCAAAAAAAAAAAAAATTTCAGAATCAACTGCAAAATGCTCATATTTTGCCCTGAACAGTTGAAAACAGTCCTTTTCTTCCTAGTCGTTACAGTTATTCCGTCTTTCAATGCAGTGGTATCATTAGAAGTTCAAAATTCATTGTTTAAATTTTGAACCAGCCTTTTGTGTTGACTTCATACCTCCTATCGTAGCATTTGGGGCTATAATTCCTAGATCTGTTTTTATTTTTATTTTTTTTTTCGCCCTGTCGCTTCATATTTTTCCTGAAAAAATCCGAGAACCAACAAATTAAATTGGTGTGGCCTTACCTTTTAAAAGAATTACTTTATTTACTTTAAGAGATTCCTCTATCCACACACTTTAAAGTGACCACTTTTCTTTGGTCCCTTGGGTGGCCAGCTTGGACAGGTTTGACTGTATAATTATGTGACAGACATCTGGTCAGTCTGATTGGTTGAAAAGCTAATTGCCATGCTCTCATTGGCTGAACTGCTAATTGTGATGGGCAGTGAGAAACAGTGTAATTAGCTGACAGACAGCGAGAGATTGTATAATACAGACTACTGAAGTTACAACTGAGTATGGGTAATTTACAGAATTTGAATTAAAAAACTTCCTGACAATAGGCTGAATAAAAAAAGATATGTTTGCCCATATAAGGCCTTTACACTAATTAAGCCTAATCTGAAGCCTGTACGCCTAAAAATGTAGAAGGACCAGTTTGGTTACCCAATTAAGGAGATATAATTTAGAAATTACGGTGGTTTACCATAATGAAACCGTAAGCTCATGCATAACATTGTGTAACCAAACTTATCCAGATTAATTCATTTTGGCAAAGATGTCCTGATTCTTGAAGTTTCAGTGTCCAAATACATTTTTCATGATACTTACTATCATACTTCTAGGGTTACGATTGCAAAAAAGGGCCACGCTGGATACTAGTACATTGTAGTTTAAGTGCCGTGTTGATGCAATTTTGTGTGTGGCCCTGTGAGACCCCTCTTCTGAGAAATCGTCTGTCCACCTGAACACCCCAAGCACCTGTGGGTTTTGTGCTAAGTACTTTTTTTAACCTACAGGTGGTGCCAATTTCGACCACCGAAAGGGCACCGATGTGATCTCAACTTAAGGATAACAGAATATGCAAAGACTCTGTCAGAAAATACACGTTATGGAAATTAATGAATGAAAAAAAATTGTTCTCTAAATTCATTCTTCATTAGTAAGACCAACAGAACTGATGAACCTTAAATTCAAACAACTGTAACAGTAACTGTAAGAGTTACTGTTAGTAGTACAAACAACGGTTAAAGTAGAAAAGAAAAAGCAAGTACACGTACCTGTGGACTAGTTCTTAGGACCAGCTTTCTTCAGGCTCAGCAAATGCAGAATGAGCTGAGTGGGGACAGACAACGCAAGTTACACTGATGATTATAAGGCGTGGTTACCCATAATCCTCTGAGTGAAAGTCCTGGTTTAGTAAGTTGTAATGCAAATGTCTGCTTTTGTTTAAAGAATTAGGCCACACCAAATTAATTTGTTGGTTCTCGGATTCGCCTCTTCATCTTTTTCTGATTTCTCACTCACTCACTGTCCGGTTTATCGTCAGTTGTTCCCCGTCTTCAGAGGGTTAGACATGCTTGCACAGTACAACTGGGGCTAATGGCAGCTCGCCACTTGTCTCTGTCCTGTGGGTTGATCTTATCTAAGTTCAGGTAGTGGAGGTCCTCCTTTATGTTGTCAAAACATTTGCAAAGAAAAAAGATACTGACTCTGAATCAATTCAAAAATGCACATATTTTTCTCCCAAAAGTTGAGGAAAGTCTTTTTCTTCCTACTTGTTACAGTTTTTCCATCTATAAAATGTAGTGGTTTGATTACATGTACTTGCAATAATCCTACGGGCAGGAACTTCATCATCATCTTATATACTGCTTAGCCCAATTTGCATTGGATTACTAGCAGCTGCACATGTGTTAGTTACAAAACAGGTGACCGGTACAAATAAAAACAAGGATAACTGAAGGAGGGGACACTAAGGAACGTAAATAACTGAATCTGTAGGTGTAAGAGACAGTGCATTTAGTGTGTTAGTAGAACATATATATACAAACTTGCAATAAACTTTCTTTCTTTCCATTCAGTATTGGGTCCTGCTGGGGATTTGAACCCAGGACCTTGAAATTAACGGCCATGATTTCTGCCCCTGCAGACCTCAGTGTGGAAGGCTTTAGTAGGAGCTGGAGTGTTAGGATCTGCACTGTTGCTGTTCTTCAACTATCTCAAGAGAGAGAAAGAGCTGGGTAAGGAAAACTTTCTAGGAGGGCCTGCATGGGGGGGTCCTAACAACACTCTATGCTAAATTTTCAGAGCTATGTATTACACTGAATTCAAGATGTCTCCCCCATTATGCTTTACTATATATTCCAGGTAGAATAAGAGCGGTCCGTCTATGCTCTACATAGAATTAAAATGGCTGGTAAGGCTGTACGGAAAAGGGCATGGGGGCCCCTTACTTAAATTTCAAATCTATCAGACACCTTCCTCAGAGCTTCTGACACACTTAGTTGATGATTTACAGTGTAATATTTGCTGTGGTTTTTTGTATAAAGTTATTTTGTTTAAAAATTAATGTTAAAATGTTTTTGCTAAGAACCACTGCAAATTTACTTATTTTTTTACCATTTTACTGATCTCCCTTTATCATTTTAGCACTTGAAAAAGAGCGGTCCAAGTCGCTGGGAAAGGCCCTGATTGGAGGACCCATCTCCATGGTGGATCACCATGGAAACCCTAAGACAGAGCAGGACTACAGAGGACAGTGGTGTCTGCTGTACTTCGGATTCACCCACTGTCCTGACATTTGTCCTGATGAGCTGGACAAGATGGCACAGGTACATGTAGGCGAAGGATAAAGGCCGCCAAAGAGATTTTACAGCTGCATGCAATCAAATTTTTGGGTCATCTTTTAATTAAGGGTTAATGACCTGCCCCGAGGTGAATATGGTGTGATAAAGCCTTGTCAGTTGCTATAACAACCGAATAAAGCCACCGAGTGAGCATATCACACCATATTCAGGGGTTGAAATACCTCTTTGTGTGCAAGTTTGTACATGTAAATGTGGTGCAAATTTTTTGCCGGTGTGCACCGGTAAAAGTAAGCTTTTGTCCTGTGTTACAAGAGGTTTGTTATTAAAAGAACATATTGTTTTTTGTTTGTTGTTTACAGAAAGTATGTTTGTTTGTTTGTTTAGGTGGTGACAGACATGGCAAACATCAAGACGTTACCCAACATCACTCCTATCTTCATCTCCATAGACCCTGAGAGGGACGACGTCAAGTCTATCGCTCAATATGTCAAAGGTCAGTCTTTTCTTAGGTATTGACTGGGCTTGAAATTCATTTTTTGGGAATAAGTGCACTGTTACACCTACTACTAGTATTTACCTTAGAATTTAAGTGCACAGAACGAAATGTGGTTTCATAGCTGAAAATGACATTATGATAGAATGTCTGCAAAATTTCATTAATTACAAACCTAACTGCCTAGCCCCTTCTTTAGATTTTGAGGCTAATTTTCTTCTGAACTTAAGATTTTAAACAAATGTCAAGTACTAAGTACTATATACTTTTATGACGTCTTAAATGCATGCTATATATACTGTGCTGTATATACCTTAGGCTTCACAGAAATTATCTAGGTGTACAAGTAAAAAATCAGGTGCACAGCTCCAATTTTGATGCACAAAAGTGCATTTATAATGCATATGCACCTATTATTTTTATCTCTGTCTGAGTTTAACAATGATTTCTGTTTCCTCCAGAGTTCCACCCAGACCTGGTTGGCCTGACAGGTTCACTAGAGCAGGTCAAACAGGTGTCCAAAAACTTCCGAGTCTACTACAGTCAGGGTCCTATAGACGAGGATGGGGACTATATAGTGAGTATCTTATCTTATCTTATCTTATGCAATACTGAACAAAATCCCGCAAGGGACATCACGTCCAGGTGCCCGCCTCAGTGTGGCCGGTGGTGGTGGTGCAACCGTGCTCAATAAACTTAACAAAACTTGTGCATTCAAAAATATAACAAGAAAAATGATGTGTTGGCCACACTAAGTATACATAATATTTACATATGGGGTTGGGGGAGGCCCATGTGTTGGGCCAGCCCCCGTTTAAACAAATCAAGTGACTTGGCAGTAACTACTTGAGACGGGAGATCATTCCATTCTATGGTTGTTCTAGGGAAATAGCTAGTTCTAAATGTCTCTGTCTTTGTTGTAAGAGTAATAAAGCGGAAGGGATGACCTCTAGTTGTATTTGTGTTCAGTGTCAATTCAGTATATTCAGTATTCAGAACTCAGAGAAGAAATACCACGGCCATACACAAAAATTAAAAATCAAATTAGATATCGTATTCCCCTGAAATATTTGTAAAGTTCCTGCATTATTGTGAATTCCTTGCTAAATGCGTCCATATGTTTTCCCATTACATTTTCGTGCATATAACAAGGAATTAAGTAGTACCTAGTTAAATCTCCAGTTATAAGCATGTCTATTGCCATATGAAAGCTGCCAGTGGAAAAAGGCATGTATATTACTATTAGAAAGAATCAGACTGAGTGAGAAATTGACAATAATAAATAAAATCAGATATTCACAAGATATTTCGTGAGCTATTCTTGTTTGGAGATGTGACTGTATGATTTGATAACAGACTGTCTGTGTTTAGGTGGACCATACCATCATCATGTACCTGATGAACCCAGACTGGCAGTTCCTGGACTACTACGGCAAGGACAAGAACTCAGACCAGATCGTGGCCAGCATAGCAGGACACATGCGCAAATACAGGAGTTAACCAACACCTCCAACCATAGGCTGCAGTTAATGCAGTATAACAATGTAGAATTTAGAAAGAGACGCCATGTATAGGTAGCATTGCAAAGGGCAGGTTGTTGTAAAATTGGTGTATTTGTTTGCCAATGACTACATAATGCTTCTAGCAGCCCTTCCACTGGTCAGACCACTAGCCTGACCACATCATGCCTCTAGCAGCCTTTACATTGGTCTGACCCTTAGAAGCTTGATCTTGAATCCTGAGCTCCTATTGGTAGTTCTGGGAATAAGAATGGTTCTCCTCAGTTACAGTGGAGTTATTGGACACAAGCTCTCAAGAAAAATCAGCCCCTGACAGCAAGACGTTGTTGACAGGCTAGGTTATCAGTTTGATTTAACATGTTGAATATCATGGAAGTGCAAGGGTCATCAATTCAGGGATCAGTTCAATCAGTACCTAGTGGGCATGGTGGCCTTGAAAAGGTGCACTTAGGTGCACCTGTTCCACCATGCCCTCCATGTATATTATGTATGTGGTCAATCGTAATAAATAAATAAACTTAATTCATACAAGTACATGCACTGTAAATTGTCTTAAGTCTTAATTGAGATGTCTTTGAGTACTAGTATATCAAAGTTATTTCTGATTATTTACTTCTGTTTGTAGAACTCTTTTTGTATGATGACAGTCATTTTTGTGTTCCCCCTAGTTCTATTACTGTGTTTTTGCTCAAATTCCTGTCTATGTGTTGTGTTTTTTTTTTGTCATTTGTTAACTCCATGACTGGGTGTTGGGTGCATTACCCCATGGTAGTTTTCTAGAAGATTTTGCTTTCAAAGTCAAAGTCCCGACTCTCTTAACTAAAAAGTGTTTTCTTGAGTTTTCATTGAGTTAATTATGTGAAGATATGTTGTCCAACAAACTGAGGAAAGTACCTAACATTACAAACTAGAGTGCTTGATGGCATAAGTGTACCTAGAATAGAAAACAAAAAAATCTATTCACGTTTAAATTTTAGTAATCATCACAAGTGATGGATATGATTATGCCAAGTTATATTGCAAAATGATGTTTTATTTGAGATTAAATGTTTGTTTTTTTCTAAGCATACTGATTGAGATTCTTTTCTTCCACACTGACAGGGTATACCTGATATATTTTTTTATTTAATATAGAAGTTGATATAGTACTATAGTTGTGCTCTCTTACTTATAATAATCATAATAAACTAAAACTGCATAAGAGCCATTTTTAACAAAAAGGTATGGCCTTGATACATAGATTAGATCTGGAGTTTCAAGTCGACTGATTGTCTTTCACACAAAAAGAATGCTCAAAGACAAACAATGTGTGCTATGTTTTCTCACAATTCCCATATCTATACAGTATTTGCCCAACAACTTGTCATGATTTGTGCATGTTAATAATAAGTAGCTGTAGCCAAAAGCATCATTAAAAACAGCTTTGATTCTGTTCTGCAAAATCCACTTAAATCCTAATTCTATTTCTCTGTCGTGTCCCGCCCCCATTGGGGCAAAAAATTACCTCGGTCAAATCAAACAAATGTATGTTTACCCTTAAAGTGCAAAGTGCCCTTAAGACAGAGTTGTGTTTGTTAATTGTCAACTATTTGATGTCTGCAAACGAACTTTGATCGTGACTGGGTAAGACTGAAGGACTATGATTGGTCGTCTGTGGTCACGTGGGTAAGCCGTTATGCTTACAAAGCGAGGTTGAATTATCCGTAATGTAACGTCATAATCGATATTATTGGTAAAATTGTTTTTTGAAGAGTCATATTTCGACTGGTTGGTTGCAGAGAGTGTTCGGAGGGCGCCGGTCAACTAAGCCAACCGGGAAAAAGGTAAAGTTCATTTTTAAATTCCGTTGCAACTACATACATGTACAGTGTCTCTACTGACTGATAACATCACAACTACTGTCTGTTTATATCTGCATATAGAGTATGCTGCACGTTTGTTGATGATACGTAGTTCTTTTTTTAACAACGTTATCTAAGATAGGTGCTGCAGAATATATTGATAATACATGTAACTTCCCGGTACAAAGGTTGGTCATAACTTTGACTCCTGTCGGTAAATTGTACGAGTAATGTTTAGAATTGGTGTTATTGTTGAGGGCCTGGTCACCTTTGTCGTACGTTAGTCGCACGACCATATACCAAGGGCATTCGTGAGATAGTCGTACACGTGTTATATCTACGATGGTGTGTTACTGAAAAGCTTAGTCCTTAGGCCACACCGATTTTCGCCTGTTCTCAAAAAAAAAAGGGTCGCGTCCACCGAGGCTCTGGCCTGGCTCTAGGCCTGGGTAGTCCATGGTAGTTAGCGACAATACGGAGCCGGGTACCCAGCCCACCGAAGCTCCACGACTCAAGAACTCAGTACATAAGTACAGTGCCTATTCATAAATTCCGCAAAAAGCCTTATCTCCGTTTAAAATTTCGACGATTGGTTCTGCATGAAAATTATGACACGAAAATTGCGTGGCGACTCACGACCTATATGACCGATGCCACAGAGACTATTTAATACATGTATTTTGGGCTGTCTCGATTTATAGATAAATGCATCAGTAGAAAGGGTAGTAGCTAGAGCATACTAAGGGAGAGTTGTTTGTGTTAGTACGGTTAGTACTAGTTGGTACGGTGTAATCAATAATATGCCATTCTGGTCTCGGTGCCACACAGTACTAAGTGAGTTGTTTACGTTCGCAACAGCGTCTGTAGGAAACTTAGGGCCCGCGTCTGTCACATTCGACAGGTAGTCGTAGATGTGTCTAGTTCATTATAAGGTAGACGATTGTCTTCTAACGGAAAAGACTGCGGTAAATCCTTGTTAATAGTCGATTCTTTCAAAGCCTTGATTAAAATGCTACATGTAGGACAAAATGCTACATCTAGGACAAAATGCTACATGTAGGACAAAAAAAAAAAACTCGTTGTACGAATGTGACGGCGCCGTGCGATTTTGTTGCCGGCAATATCAAACGTTTGAAACATGCTATGACGGCATTTTAAAGTAACGAGGCGGACTTTTAGCCTGCTGGGAGCCATACCCCGTTTGTACCCAAGATAGTGAATTGAACGAGACCCATTGCAACATTAATGGCACCCAGGCTAGACTTTTCTACATGTGCACGACTATCCCAAGAATGCCCTCACGATTTGTGATGCTACCACAGGATGATTGTACGACGTATCACGCTAACCAATTCACCCGGAGGATTGAGCTCAGACACTGAGACAAGATACTCAAGTTAGCGTTGCACGTGTCATCATCATCATCTATCATCCTCCGAAGAGGTGGAGCATACAAAGTTAGATCACCAAAACTGTACATGTTTGTCATTCATCACAGAGATGAGTTCCAGGCCCTCCAAGCCTGTTTCAGTTTCAATAAGTTTCTTAAGTGTTATGTTGCACGTGTAATGACGTTTTTTTTCTATTCTCTCTGTCCAAGGAGGTTTAATATCTGTCGCACGACAGTTTGTCGGAGACTGCGAGACGACTCCATACAACTTCTGTAATGTCGTGTCGGGTACAGTCGTGCTGTGGCTGCTGCAGTGTCAGAGTCGGCGCTATTATAGTCGGGGTTCTGTACCTGGTAAGACAAATTTACTTTTTTTTTTTATATTCCAACATGTAATCACAAGACGTGGTGACGGCACACTCAAGTTTTTTTTCAACTTATATTAATGCCGTCACCAACATAGGGTACAAATACATGACAGGACAGTACTCATTTTCACCTGAGCGAAGTGAGGAAAGTCGTGTAAAGTGCCTTTCCCAAGGGCACAAGATCGGTGGCATGTCAGGACTCGAACCCGGGACCTCTAGGTTCCGAGTCGCGCACGTGCACTCTGCCGCTACACCACACGACAAATTTACTCAGCGCTGCTATCATTATTATCATTAAACATTGTGTCATTCTCTTCTTTTCGTTATCCTCTAAACAGGAGTGAACGTGGTACTTTTTTTATAATAGCCATCAGTGCTATATGTTTGTGTACGTACATGTAGCTTGCTGAATGATCCAGTAAAGTGGGAGTGAGGGGGGATACTATAACCACAGACTGAAAAAATATACTCATATAGAGTAACTGTGATACAATTTTAATTTCTTTGTACGTGTTCAGATTTTCGCTGTAGCTGGAGACATTGTATTGGCTGTGATAGACATAGTAGGGATGTTGACGGCGACCACGCCTAGCAACGGCGTCACGCCTAGCAACAGCAGCGGCATCAGCGGTACGGGAGGGAACAATACTGGTGGCGGCAGCGTCTGGACGAAGATAACAAGTACGACAGCCATTATATTCAATTAGATGTCGGAATCAAAATCTTTACTTTTTGGCTATTGTTTACATGCAAGCAGGCATGGCAGTATATGGATACGTTTATCAGAAAAAAGGCGTATCCCGTGAATAGATGCTGTGATCTTCCCAATATTTGCCTAGAGACTATACGAGCGGACGTACATACACATGCAAAGGTGAACACTTTCCCAATCTTAAGGCTTTACGAATGTCACTTGAAGATCTTACTGTTATACAATTTAAGATATTCAATCCTACGACACTTCTTTACAAGCGCAAGGGCTATTTGAAAGTAAAAATCGTGACTACATGTAGCTTGTCAAGAGCACGAGATATCAAAAACAAGACGTTTTGCTGCAGTACCCAAAAAAGCCGCTAGGAGCCCATGATCTAAACGTTTCTTCATTTTGCCAAGAAAGTTTACAACAACAACAACAACAACAACAGCATCATATCAGATCGATTAAAATTCACACATGACTTCTCTTTGTTTCACATACAAATAGCTCTTAGAAACTATATTTTGCTAATAGCGTGTGTTTTATCTAAAACAGCTAGCCCTCTCGCGGGTTGAAATAAGACTTTTAATCCTCTGGCTATATTACTGTGTTTTACAGTTGCCACGTGGGTAGAGCTGGGGGTTGACGTGCTTTTCTTAATCATCTGCATTCTGCTGATCGTCGGTGCTGCAAAGGTACATCTACTATACAGTGTGTAAAGTGTTGTGCGAATTGATTGCTAGCCTAGATATATACAGCTAGTAGTAGTTCTAGTGGTAGTAGTAGTGTTAGTAGCAGTAGTGGTATTATTATAAGTAATAGTATAAGTAGTAGTAGTAGTAGTAAAAGTAGTAGTAGCAGAAGTAGAATTAGTAGTAGCTAGCAGTAGTAAAAGTAGTAGTACTAGTAGTAGTAGTAGAGGTAGTAGTAGTAGCAGCAGCAGTATTAGTAGTAGTAGTAGTAATAGTAGAGATACTAGTAGTAGAGATAGTAGTAGTAGAAGATTTTGTTACAGAAATAGTCATGTACAACATAAGTAGTCATGTAATCGCAAATTCAGCTTTGTTTTCCTGTGGTTTAGCATTGTTTTTTGCTGGACTTTTTTTTTGCCCGCTCGCATTCATTTTGGAGTCTTCAGAGGATGTCATATATAACATTAAGGCAGTGTATATATAGTACCCTTATCGCTTGCGTTACACTACAGAACAACAGAGTGCTGTGCATGGTCTGGCTGGTAGCGGCTGGCCTGTGGACGGCCTTCATGGCGGGAGAGGCCGTGTATCTGACCGTGGAGCGGTACCTGGTTCTGAGAGACCTGGACAAGCTGTGGCAGACTTTCCTGGACACGCTGATCATCAAATGGGGCGTAGTGGTGGTCTGGCTCTTGATGCTGGTTAGTTCACTTTCTTAATTCTGTGATTACCTGTTTTAGTGAGGGGTCGTGTGGCGTAACGGCTCAGGACCAAGAGGCCCCGTGTTCGAATCCTGCCATGCCACCGGTCTTGTGCCCTTCGGAATGGCACTTGACACGACTTTTCTATCTTAACCCAGGTGAAAGTAGTCATCCGCGTTGATGGCGGCATAAAGTGGAATAAGTCTTGTCGTTAAATGTTGGTATTAAAAAAAGTTTTAGTTTCAATCAAACTTTGTTCGAACAAAGGTAAATATTCTCACCTAGAGCTTCCGACTAGTCTTCTTCAATAGACTGACCCAGTGAGAAACCCAGGGAAAGGACTAGGTGAGAACAATCCCGTGTGTTGGAACAACTTGAAACAAATAAGATTGAATTTCACTGTGTGCTAGTTAGCTCATCCAAAGAAGTCCAACAGTATTGCAACAATCACTGCAGGAAATTCCATATTCAATTACACTTTAAAGCAAGCGTAAAGCTAGCTATATACACGCAAAGGAAGAAACAAAACCTTCATGCTTGCTTTACGAATGAGATTTGTGCAGTAAATGGATGTTTGGCTCTTTGTGTTTTTGAGTTCATGTTTCTATTCTTTTATTACTTCATCCACAAACGCTCGAATTTTTGTAAACAGGATCAAGGACAAAAAGTTATTAATTAGGATTCTTGTGTGTCAGACTTAGTAATAGATGCCTCAGCCCATCAACTGCCCGATGGGGCATCGGTTTGGAAATGTGAAGTTTCTTAACGACTGCATGGTTGCTTTCTGTCTTGTTCCCTCAGATCGCCGGCGCTGTTGTGGTATCGTCTCATGTAGCGGACATACGAGACGACAAGGACGGACCACTGCTAGCCGAGCCCCAGAGATCCTACCCAACATAATACACCCAACCGGCAACTGTTAAAACACAATTGGCAGTTCAACCAATGGCAGCATGGCAATTAGCGGTTCAACCAATCAGAATGTTTGCATGTCGGTCAAATATTTGAATTTTTATGTTTTGGCCGAGGTACAAAGTGTAGGTACAAAGGATAAAATGTAGGCGGGACTATAGGAAGGGTCCGTTAGCTGTTGGACCAATAATAGCATGGCATTTAGCAGTTCGGCCAATCAGAGTGTCTGCATATGCGGCAAAAATTTGCATTTCAACGTCTGGACGGAGGTGGGAGGGGCTATGGGATCGGTTGATAAATAAGTTGATCAGTTCCAGTAATCCACTGAAAGCTTATTTTTAAACGATTGATGACACGAAATCCCTTATGCTGATTTATGAAATAAATAATATATTGAGATATTAAGTTTTTTCTAACCACAAAATCCCATGAACAAAATGTACAAGTAAATATAGAACTATGAAGAACAAAAGTTTTCACATATGCCATAGTTTCTACCAAGATAGCATGTAAATGTTTCTCATTTGGCGGAGAAATAAAGTCATGGAACTCTGATGAAAAACCTTATGCTATAACTGTTTTCATGAAATTTTTAATATATTGCGATGTAAATGTTTTTTTCTAACAAGTTCATTGAGCGAATTCGCGAAACTTTCATATAACTATTTAACCATTGATGAACAAAATTTTCCACATATGCCATAGTTGTCAATTTTTTTCAAACAGCACAAAACTGAGACAATAATATATGGCCCTAAGGTTCTCCATTTGTGTTAGATTGTTCAGGAAATACAAAATATTATTAGAACAAACTATACAATATTGCAGGAAGCACACAAAGTTGCCAAAAAGCAGTTACTCAAGAGTAACTGAGGAAGTATCAAGAGTATCTCTCAGTCACTGACGAAAGCTAGTGGATACATGTACTAGCTGAAATGTCTGACGTTTTCAAAATCATATCCAGTTGCTTGAGTAACTGCTTTTTGGTGAATTGTATTACCTGGATGTCTAACCTTCATCGACACACACAATTGCTTGTATTATTCCTCAGGAATCACACTTTACATGAAATATCAACAGGAAATTGTCTTACAAAGACAACACAATCACAGACATATCTTAAAACCCTTGTCCTGCTGAGCGCAACATTTGTCATTCTGCACATACAGTACCATCTATATAGCACCCTGTATAGGTACGATTTGGGGGTACTAGTATTTCTCGTGCAACGCATCACACTGCAGTGAAACGCAACGAATGCGGAAGTAACTATGCCACTGCAGGGCAAAAAAAATTGGGGGTCTATGATCCAGACATGAAATTATTGAAAAATATTGTGCCAGGAATGCCAGCAGGACAAGGGTTAAACAGGAACAAATTGATTCAGCAACATGTTGATAACAAAGTTTTGCTCTCAATATGGTTTTAAATCAATCACGAGGACAAGGGAATCAACTAAGAGCACACCAATTTAATTTCTTGGTTAATGGATTTCCCCGCTTCATTTTTTTCTTTTTTGCAAATAAAAATAAAAATTCAGAATCAACTGCAAAATGCTCATATTTTGCCCTGAACAGTTGAAAACAGTCCTTTTCATCCTAATTGTTACAGTTATTCCATCTTTCAATGCAATGGTATCATTAAAAGTTCAAAATTCATTCTTTAAATTTTGAACCAGCCTGGTGTGTTGACTTCATGGCTCCTATCGTACCATTTTGGGCCATAATAGGATGCCTAGGCCTGTTTTTATTTTTTTCGCCCGACCGCTCCATTATTTTTCTAGACAAATCCGTTAACCAAGAAATTAAATTGGTGTGGCCTAACCTTACAACAGTTGGTGCTAAAATCTATAGATTATAAAAACCAACAGTTTAATTTTTCTAACAATTGTCAGTGCAATTTAAAATGACTACTACATTGTATCTTATAGAAATCAACCTTCAATGTAGCCTAATATCAAGTTGATATCATATCTAGTTTCTAAAATAAGTAAACAAGCAACCGGAACTTTTTAAATAGGTTAACAGGCAATCTGGTAGTCTACTGGCAATGGGTTATCTTAAACAGGCAACATGTGAAATAACATTTTCAAATTGACTTAGATTATGGTAGCTTAGCAGCATACTATAAGACACTGTACTATATTTCATCATCATCATCATCATTACTATATTTGATCCATTTAAATAGGTTATTTTTCCAAGTCAAACAGTAACAGTTGAAAGTTGTCATTGGATAGGTTTTCAGCACCATGGACAAGTATATATGTGAGATAACATTTTCATAATGGACTTAGTTATGATAGTTAAACAGCACTTAATGTCTGGCACGGTACTACAATTAACCTATTTAAATTAGGTTGTGAGTTGTCACTGAATGGATCATTGGATGGAAGGACCCATATAAATTTAGCCTGAGTGTCAGCCTTGTTAGCTTTCATCCGCTACCACGGGGAGCGGATCTTGGGTAGCGGACGAAAGCTAACAAGGCTGACACTCAGGCTAATATAAATTGATAATGATAACTGAATAGCAAGTATTTTTGCATAAAGCACTGTGTACGACAATTCTTTCATTACAATCATTTAGCTTATTCTTCCAAGTCAAATGGTTGTGAGTTGTCACTGAATGGGTCTTCCGTACCATGGACAGGAAGACAGCTTGTATCATCGTCGTCAAAATCCATCAGTGGACTAGCTGGTACATTGCTGTCGTCCAAGTGTTCCTCAAAATCCATGGCAGGGCTGGAAGGAACGCAGCTGTCCATAACAGCTGTGACCACATCTTTCTCTGTCAGGTCCATCTCTGGACTTGAAGGACAGACACTCTCAATGCTGACTGGATCTGGCAAATCCATGGAGGGACTGTTAGGGGCACTAAGAAGATCATCAGCATCATCTGTATTGGATGCTTCAAGTGAACAGGGTGGCATGTCGTCACTGTCATTTTTCTGAGCTTCGTGGTCTGGGTCTGCTTTCTTTTCAGCTTTCTTTGTTGTTGGAGGCTTATTAACAGTCTTCGGTTGCTTGTTACAGCTCTCTTCCTGTGAATCCATTTCCATGGTGAAGATCTCACTGTCAAATGGGATAGGAGGTTCACATTCTGGAGGGGGCTCAGTTGCCTTGTTCTCTGATGTATCGTTGGGAGAGGCAGTGGCAGTTAATGTCTTCTTTTGTCGCGGTGGCTTGAAGCTGGGCTTCTTTGGTTTTGGGGCAGGTGCTGCTTGCTTGTCTTCATTCTTGGGTTTTATCTCGGTATCTGTGTTCTCTGTAACTTCTTTATCATTGTTACTGAGCTTGTTTTCCTTCTGTGGTGCCACAGGTTTAGACTTTTTCAACTTTACTTTGAAAGCAGGAGCTTTCTTAACTTCTGCTTCTTCTTGGGAGACTCGCTTATCTTTCAAGGAGGTTTTACTCTTCTTGCTACCATCTTCTGACAGAAGGGTCTTCTTTTTCTTTTTTGGAACCTGTTTGTCATCTGATTTCTTCCCTTTTCTTTTCTTGACTGGTTTCGGTTCTTCAGACTGCTCTTTGTCTTTCTTTAGGACAGGTGGTTCATGGGAAATCTTCATGACCTTACCTGGGGAGTATTCAAACTCTTCATCACTTTTGCCATCTGCAAGAAAGAGTGCAAGAATGTTCAAGATGTTTTTTTAAACATAATTAATACTATTCCAAAAGCATTTGGACATATAAATGCATCTGAAATTTGTCTTAGCTTGCAAAGAAAAGTCTTCCAGACCAAGAAGGAAAATCAGTTTCTTGGTCGGCTTTAACATACTTTGAAAGTAAAATACAATACAAGGTGCTGAACACCATCCACACACATACAAACATACCTGTCCTTGGTGCTGAACACCATCCACACAGGTAAACACACCTGTCCCTGGTGCTGAATACCATCCACACACAGGTAAACACACCTGTCCTTGGTGCTGAACACCATCCACACACAGGCAAACGTACCTGTCCTTGGTGCTGAACACCATCCACACGCATAAACGCACCTGTCCTTGGTGCTGAACACCTTCCACACACATAAGGACACCTAAACACCATCTACACATATATAAACACACCTGTCATTGGTGCTGAACACCATCCACAGATTAACACACCCTTTCCTGGTGCTAAACACCATATATACACACAGGTAAACATACCTGTCCCTGGTAGAAAACACCATTCAAAGATTAATACACCCTGTCCTTGATGCTGAACACCTTATATACACAGGTAAACACACCTGTCCTTGGTGCTGAACACCATCCACACACAGGTAAACACACCTGTCCCTGGTTTGGAACACCATACATACACAGGTAAACATACCTGTCCCTGGTGCTGAACACCACCACAGGTAAATATACACATACACAGGTAAATATACCTGTTCTTGGTGCTGAACACCATCCATAGATCTGCAGAATAACACACCCTTCCCTGGTGCCAAGTACCATTCACACACAGGTAAACACACCAATTCAACACAGGTGGAAATTATGCAGCAAGTTTAAACTGTAATTTCCAACACAAGAAATTGGACTCACCCAAATTTTCGACTGTACAACTCCAGTCTTTGTCAAGGAATGAACAATCCACCGCTTCCGTGACATCACGCAGATAACACACGTGACTCCGTGAGCAGTGGATCATAGGTTGCAGTTTAAACTTGCTGCATAATGACTTCTTCCAACACAGATGAACTTTCAAGACAGATGGAAATTATATGTTGGCAGGTGAACTATAAAATGTGTCATTCTCTCCTACCATTGTCTTCTCCTTTATTCTGCAATGAGGTGAGGAAAGACTCTGCATTCCCTAACACCTTCTCTGCTTGTTCCATCAGGTCTTCCACACTCCCACTGTCTGACAGGTCATCAGGTGATGTGGGCTGTGTTTCCTCCTCTGGTGAACTTTTACTTGTTGTTTCCTTTAGGGGTTCTGGAAATGAATAAATTCATTTGTTGCTAGCTATCTGTGTGTGTCAGTATGCTTGGATTCCATACTTATTTCCAAATGTTTGACATGTTGGAGACACTCAAAGGAAGTTAGGTCAAAGGTCCAAGAAAAGGTTATCTTATTTACTGTCTTCAATTTCCTGCCATATGACTAGAATATGAATGTGGAGCCCATGAGAAATTCACAATGAAAAAAAAATCAGAAAAGCAACAAAACAGATCTAGGATTTCTTAGAAAATAACAACACTGTTATACTGAAGGTTTGGAATTTTCACCTACATTTTTGTAGACACCCTAAACATCACCATTTGGTCTTTATACAAAGGCATATTAGGTAGTATTTGGAACAAGGTCCAATAAGAGTTAGGAAATGCAGTGACAATATTCCTTTCCCATATTGGGCAAAATAGAAACTCAATAGTAACTTTAATGATAATAATAATAAGATGCATCTAAAACAACAAGGTTTAACTGTGGACTTACCTTTGTCATTTTCATCCGAACTGACTTCTTGTTTTCCCCAGTGTCCTTGGAACCGCTTGCCAAATCCAAAGGTTTGCAGTCTCTTCTACAGAGGACATTGTAAAGTAAAGTGTTCAGGGAAGCATTCAACAAACACAAACAAAACACTGTATTTCAAAAGTCCAGATTGAACTTAATAGCCTGGGTTCCATCCTGGTTAGCTTACGTCCGCTCCCACAGTCACTGGTTGGTGGTAGCCACTGGGAGCGGACGTAAACTAACCAGGATGGAACCCAGGCTATGAACTTTAAGACTTGGACTATTACCCACACCAGGTCCTACAGGTTTTGTTCCCAGTGTGTTTCCTTGTGTTTCTACATAGTTGAATACAGTAGAGTGACAGCTAGGAAGTAAAGATCTAATTGGAAGTCAAAATAGTCTCTCACAGTCTGAGAGGATGGGAATGGTACTGTGAAGAACTCAGGATCCTGAGGATTTCATGTACTATACCATCATGTAGACATGACAGTGGAAAAAATCTACTGCATGAAGTGGACGTCATACATGTATAATAATTATACAACATCAACAAATTCTAAATATTTTAAGGAGGTATGAGATTTTTTATTTCTTGTAGACATTGCATCAAGAATCAATTAAGTCATACTGGCTTCTGATTGCATATAGTCAGCATATGTATATATCATATACATATTATAATGTATATACCCCCGTGAATAATTTCGTCAGGTTGGTAAACGACTGAATAGCAAAGTTCTTTTTATCACAACCATTTATTTTTCACTAGCCGACGTTTCGATGACCGTCTGTCATCTTCATCAGGGCAATTCTGACTGGTGCACAGTAAACCAGTCAGAATTGCCCTGATGAAGATGACATACGGTCATCAAAACGTCGGCTAGTGAAAAAAAATGGTTGTGATAAAAAGAACTTTGCTATTCTATAATAATATATAATGTGTGACTGTGTGTGTACCTTTATGGACAGCACAACAGCCTGTCTTGCCATGGTGCATGCAACGTGCACACGTTTCCGGTAGTTCTTGCCGTCCACGACCAGCGACCCCATGTGATCAGAGTCATCCTGCCGGGTAAAGGGTCGCACTGATCTCTCCGGGATCCAAGCTCGGGACACCGTCTTCCCGAAAAAGACGACATGGTAGCGGATCTGTTGGCACCAATGCACGATATTGTTAATACTTATTTATTTATTAGACTTTCCAATGCAACAACAGGTAGCATGGAGGAGAGACAAAACAGGTGCATAATTGCACCTCTGCCAGTTGTCTCTCCACATACAAAATACACAGTGTCACTAAAACAGTAACAATACAAAAATAGACAATTCAACTGACAACATATTATAACATATTAAGAATATATTACTGTGGGCTTATTTATTAAACAAAATTACAAATCTCTGAGCTAAGGCCACACCAATTTAATTTCTTGGTTAACAGATTTTTCTAGAAAAATAATGAAGGGGGCGGGCGAAAAAAGAAATAAAAATAAAAACAGGCCCAAAATGGTACGATAGGACCCATGAAGTCAACACACCAGGCTGGTTAAAATTTAACAATGAATTTTGAACTTTTAATGATACCACTGGATTCAAAGATGGAATAACTGTAACAACTAGGAAGAACAGGACTGTTTTCAACTGGGCAAAATATGAACATTTTGCAGTTGATTCTGAAGTTTTTTTTTTTTTTTGCAAATCATAAAAAAATGAAGCGGGCGAATCCGTTAACCAAGAAATTAAATTGGTGTGGTATAAGCTGAGACCACATTGAATGTACTTCCTTGGTTGCTGAACAACATTTTAGAGTAAATCATTAACGAGTGGCTCAGGGAAAAGCTATATTTTACTTCCTAATAAAACTGTGTGCATTCACAAAAGCAAACTTTTTTCTTTCTCTATAGTATTTTTATTGACTTAAATCCGGGATCCAACAAACTAAATTGACTTTGCCCGATGTTAGGTATTTACATGGTCAGCCACTAAGCTTGTTTTCTTACAATTTTTTTCTTCAATTTATCGAATACAGCAGTTACTGATTATATAATATACCTTACAATCCATAAAATCATTGTATACAAATCTATGTTTATTTTCCCAGAAAAATACAGGCAAGCAAGACAATTAAAAACTGAAGCCGTGAACAAAAAATATTTTCTTTGCCTGGGAGGCATTTCCTTTGTATAGGCGGGAGAACTACGAAGTAATGAGAGTTTTTAATTATCGCTCTCGGTCCTTCCAGACTGGTATTTCCCCAGAAGGAATCAGGATGAAGCACAGACTATATCATGACCACCCAGGACTCACATGTGCTGTGAGTCCTGGGTGGTGTGTTTGCTTCCGTTGGTTCTGCTACCATTGAGACCACATGGGTTAGGCCACACCAATTTAATTTGTTGTTTCTCGGATTTTTTCAGTAAAAATCAGGAGCAACAGGGCGAAAGAAAAAAAAAAGAAAACAGGCCAAGGCACCCCATGATAGCCGGAAATGTTACAATATGAGCCGTGAAATGGACATACCAGGCTGGTTTATAATCAAAACAATAGATTTTGAACTTTTAATTTAATAAACAAAGTTGCATTGTTACATTGAAAAAAACTTAAGAACTAGGAAGAAAAGGACTTTTTTCAACCACTGAGACCAAGGTAAATGTATGTCTTTCATGCAGTTAATTTAGAACAAAAAAATTATTATTTTTTTGTGCAAATCAGAAAAAAATGGACAGGGCGAGAAGCTACAAATTAAATTGGTGTGGCCTTATGACCACATATTTACTGGCCTATGTCTGGTACCTTTTTCTAATTCCACATCTTTGCAGCTGGTCTTTGTGAGCGATTCATCATTAGTAATATCGCAAAAATTATAACTGCAAAAAATTCCTCAGCTTGCACTAACCAAATTGAGCATGCAGGCAACATGTATAATCCCAGGATGATGGTAACACTGAGCTAGTCTGATGAAAATATTTAGTAATACATATTCAATGGACTTAAAAGAAATTTGTCTGCTGAACAGCGTACTAGTAATACATAGGAGTTTAACCACATCTTCAGACAAATAACGTGTGAACTTTAATTGTGCTCTGGAAACATTTCCTTTAAAAGGGACCATTTCCTCCAGATAATGCTCCAATCACTGAAGTGCAGCATTTTTTAATGTGTTAAAGTTGGAGTTTGGAGATTTTACCGTGTGGGTTAGAACTGAGACTACCGATTAATAGAAAGTCTCGCTAATCGCATGACTGACACAAATTTGCCACGTGAGCTGGGTTGTCACGTTAAAACTTTAATCCATAGGGAAACGCATAATGTATAATTCATGCAGCTCTGTTGAAAAGGCACATGCTTAGAAACTCACGTGGCACACCGATCAGTTACCAAGATGTTGCCAAGCAAGGTAAAGCTTGTCTTACTTCTCCTGTGTTTTGGGGGTAAAACTGCTTCACAGTGTCCTTCCAGCTGCCACCCCAATAACCCTGGACAGGGTTCAGTCTTTATCTGCCACTGTCCAGATGAACATGGGATTGAGGACAATCCCTGCAGCTGGGTTGGACATGGAGGGACTCCATACAACTTCAAAACATGTCTCGACGCCATACCGACAAGCTTCTTCATAGAAACTCGAGTAATCTACATCAAGTATCTCCGCTCCTCAACGCTCCTGGAGTGGTCTTTCCCAAACATTTCAGGCCTTCAACATCTGCGGATCCAAAAGTCTAACGTTTCCACGATACAGCCGGGGGCCTTCCGTGGCCTACCATTGCTAGGACGGCTCTACCTTGACGACAATCAACTCTCCAGTTTGGGTAAGTTGACAGTTTTTAATATGATAAAAGACTGATTCAGAAACATTTAATGATACCCAGTTACGTTTTCTGTCTTGGGGCTTTACTGCTCTTAAAATATACAGGCCATTACATGTATATCTTGACCAAATACTGAAATAGTCCTTTAATTTTTGGTCTGACTTTAACTTAAGACAACACTGCGTCTCTTTAAATTGAGACTGACAAAATTCTTGTTCCAACACCCTCTAACATGTAATTTTCTGACATGTTTGGAATTTAAGGTATCAGAACGGGTTCTGAACTTAAGGGTGTCAGACTCAGAACATTTGATTGTCTCTCCCTCTCTGGCTTGGTGTTTAGTTTCTGGGCCAGCTTGAAGTGATTTAGTAATTTCCTCAACAGTCTGCTATCCTGTAGACCTGAGGTTATAGGCAGCAGTAAGGAAAGGAATTGTCATAATTATTGCCTTACTTTGTATGCAAATCTTAAGCATGTCATAATTCATTGCAATAGAGTAGTTTTCAAGGGTCGCAAGGCATTCAGATATTGATATATTATTAATGTCTAACTTGTGATGCCAATATCAGAATAATCCTGCAGTCACGTTTCTGAACACGTTTCTAGCCCTTTAATTTGTCTGTTTTTGAGGGCAGCAATCCAGACATATTTGAGAATTTGAGCACTATAATGTGCTAATACAACTATGGTAAAGATTTTTCATTGGCAGATAGCTTTTGGTCTTGGAAAGACGTTGTATGGGTTTGTTGTCTTCTTTTAAAACTGTGTTTTGGGGAGATATAGATAGCAGAGGCTATCGCCCTTGACAGAACTGGCTGGAGGAACCTGATGGAGGGGAGCAAGGGGCCAGTACCTGGCCTCAGGGCACTTAGGCAGTAGGCAGGGATAGCACAACGAAGAATTATAGATTCTTATCACTTTTGGCATGTAGGTAGGCTAAAAATATGGCATATTCTGATTAATTATCTTTTGATCATGCTGAATAAGACTGAGCAATTTACATTGCACTGTTGCACAACATGACTTTCATGCATATCATTGAACTATTAGGAGAGCACCACTTCCACAGGCTTCAACGACTAGTACCATTTGCACAATAAAAATGACAAATTGGGGGATCCAATTCACTTGCAAGGTAAATGAGATTGAATGACAATTTACTAGAATTGCCAATAGTTGGGAAGAATTTCTAGTTGGGAAGTTGAATTGCTTTATTTTACTCCCAGGACATGATACTTTCCTTGGGCTTGACGGATTAAAAGAACTCTTCCTAAACAAGAACATGATTTCTGCTATATCCAAGTATGCATTCCGTGGCATGCCTTCCCTCACCACCCTGCAGCTGGCCAAAAACAGCCTCACGTCTGTGCCCGTTGACGCAATTCTCCAGCCAAAAGCCCTGACCAATGCCAATCTTGCAAAAAATGTCATCACTACCGTTGACAGTTACGTCCTGCATCTGAGACAAAACAAGCACTTGAAAGTCGTGATACAAGAAAACAAGCTCAACTGCGACAGGGATTTGATGTGGTTCATCTGTAACCTACATGTACCAATGCTGGAGCCTATCTATCTCCGACGATCACTGAAGTGTGCTTCTCCCAAGAATCTGTATGGAACTTTCCTCTTTAGCATGACTAAAGATGCCTGTCAGGTCAATGTTGACAGGCCACAACAAGAAACTGAGTTTGAAAGGTCCAACGAAACATCCGAGACAACAGCTACTGCAAATATCTTAACGAATGGATTCAAAGAAGTGCTGAAGGCAACAGCTACTACAAAGAAGGACTTACATGTATCAGGTCCTAAAACCGTCAACACAAGTTCTTACAATGAGACCATTTTCACAGAGCACTACACAGACGATACGATGGCTACCATCTCCCAGCATGTCACTGTCACAGAGATGTACTATGTCGTCATCCTTGGGGGAGAACCAATCGTCAAAGCCGATGACAACAGCATGCAAATCTTGTCGATGAGCAATGCCGTCGTTGTGCCACTCCTGTTTTTGCTGGCCTCAGCAGCTGCCATCTTCATCTACAAAAGCAGACATGGCGCAGGTTTAGAACATCCTGACATACAAACAGGATCAGATGATGAAGATTCTACACGCTATGAAACTGTAGGAGGCCATGGAATTCAGCCGTATGCAGTGGTCTATGCTGACATCGTGGAGATACAAGGATCCAATGCATCCACGGGTAGACATGTACATGTACAGGCCATCCCTACATGTGACCAGACATCAGAAGACATCCAGCCGTATGCAGTGTCTGAAGACCAAGGACCACAACAGCTTCCTGCAGTGACTAGCAGTAATGACCCTGGAGGACAGGACAACAACTACAAGATTGAGCCATATGCAACAGGCTACCCCGAACCCCCACAAGATGAAGAAGGCCATACAGAGGCAGGCACTGACCAACATGCAGCAGGCGTCAAACAAGAAGTCGTTCAATCGAAAGACTCTGACCTGTCACTGCCAAAGCATGGCGGAATACTGAAAAGATGTGAGGACGAAGAAATGGAAAACGGCAATCAATCAAGTGTTGAGACCACGGATCCAGTCCTCTGTCCTCATCCAGTGACCAGTGGAGACAACCAACATGAAAGAACCATTAAACAACCAGTGACCAGCAGTGACAACCAACATGAAACAACCATTAAACAACCAGTGACCAGTAGTGACAACCAACATGAAACAACCATCAAACAACCAGTGACCAGTAGTGACAACCAACATGAAACAACCATTAAACAACCAGTTGCCCAATCAGACAGCCAGTCAGGAAATGCAAACCTACAACAAACATATGAGAAAGCAGAAGAGGGCATTCCATCAACAAGGGATGGCAAGGGTCCTTATGGAATAGATGAGGAAAATGAGATTCCCAGCGCACATGGAATGCTGTATGAGTGTGGCTTGCAGCCCACTGGTCCAGAAGAGCACTACACAGCTGATATCCTGTACAACCCAGCTCATGGATAGCCTGAATGTCAGGCAAACAGACCTTCAGTTCTGTATGAAGAAGCAAATTTAAATGCAAGCAACCTTTTATATCTATCATATTATATTCTTTTATTCATTTATGATTATTGTAAATTTCTGGTTATATCAATGCATTTTGAAAGAAAAGAAATTGAAGACAGCTAATTAGAAATCCTTTTCTGGGACCTTTGCCCTAACTTTCAGTCAGTGCCAATGTGCCTAGAATGTAAAAATGGTTACATTGAAAACTACAATCAAATACACACTCAGTCCAAATACACACTCAGTCAGACATACCAAAAAGCAAAAAAGAGCCTTACATTGTACTCATGGCCATACATGGAGGTAAGAAAACACAAAAGCAACTCTCTATTTATACTGGAACTGCTCCATGTCCATGCAAAATGCTTTGAGATTAAACTGGTCACTAACATCCTGCATTGCCTAAGGGAGGGCGCAAAAAAGTAACCTCTCCCCAGACTTATTTCCTGACACAACTTCGGCAGCTACATCTTAATTATTCATCACAATCACATTCAAGCAATCTTCGTGAATCTCAGTTCTAAGCAACCTCAATTCTACTGACTAAGGTATGTTGTACTATTATTTGTAGGTGACATTTGAACTTTATGTAAGAAAGACCTTAGCATACTGTCTTAACTTTAATCTTTAAAATCAAAATTAAGTCAGTACGCTAAGGGTTGCTTGGCCTTAGTCTAATAGCTTACAGGTTTTTGCCTGCTATCTGTCTCATAGTATGCTTGGTCATCCGGGTCCTCTTCTACCATCCCTGGCCACCTGTTGGACAACAGCACAATGTCATGTACATGTACATGTATGTACACACTTTTGTGACTGAAATTTTTAATGATTCAGTTTGTACTATCTGTATCTGAAACTTTTTCTCCAGTGTAACTTTGGCAATAACACACCAACTTTGCAGGTGAAAATGTTGACAGCATACTTATAGTAAGTAATACAGATGATGTGACATTTAAGATTCACATAATTATCAAGCATTGTTTGAAGTTTTGTATTGAAGATAGCTATACTGTACTTGGTGAAGTGTTCAATTTTCTAATCATTATATAGTTTGGATAAACCAAAAGATTTTACATAGCATTTTACAGCATATTGAAAAAAATTCCGACAGAACTCAAAAGGCACATCAATTGAAATCTTCTACCATATAATTGATAAAATCTGAAACTTGTAGTTACCATGGGTATCCTGGCATCTTAGCCCAAACGATTGAGCCCTCCACGTAACGTGTGTCCACAAACTCCAGTTCACTCCAGTCAGCTTCTGTCTTCTCACAGCTGTTGTACTCTTCATCTAAGGACACATTAGAATGTACATTTTTGTAGTTGATTGCTTATTTCTTGACAAAGACTGTAGTTGGCAAAAATTGAGGTATGCCCAATTTCTTGTGTTGGACAACATAGTTAAAAAATTATTTCATAAAAACTTTTACCAACACAGATGAACTTTCAAGGTAAGAGAATCGTTTTTGTGGTCGCTTCTGTTGCGTGAACTGATAATTTCATTATTTAGATTATTACCGTGAACAAACATTTTCGATTGCCGGCCTTTTTTTTTTGCTGCACCTGTCGCCACAGCGAACGGATAGTTCTTCAAACATGTCCATTTTTCTCAGACCACAAACTTTTGCTTGACTGCGGGAATTTACAGCAGTTCAATCTTAAAGTCCACTGTTCATCATACCAGTCAACAGTGAATCAGATTCTGTAAATACTGTACATGTACATAGTGGCCCTGTCTTTTTGGAAGTCAGAGTAAAAGCTCATCATTCTGTCAATTGAGTTTGTTGGAGCTTTAAGATTAGCTTTTACTTAAAGGTTATAAGGGGCTAACCTTTGTTCATAGAACATGTCCACCTGTCTGGCACAGAGGCAGGATCTGTCACCTCGGACAGGTAACGCCACTTGCCACATCTGTCAGCTGTGCACTGTACCCAGGTCCCCTTCTCCTCAATCTCACGGCTAAGGAAACGCTTCCTCCTAGGAGAGTAGAAAGGTTTATTTATTTATTTATTGAAAAATGCAACAAGACATTACACTGACTCTCAAGGCAGCAAAGCTGATATCAGAGAGTCAACATATAAGGACAAAACACATAGGGCACATAATTTCAAATACAATGTGAAATACAAGAACGCAATCATAAAGACTTAACCTATATCATTCTGATTAATTAAGTACATATATATATACATAGTAAAAATTACGCATTTGGAAGTCAGAGGTCCAGAAAAAAAATATATACTACCTCATAAGAGAAAATTGGTACTAAATAAACAAGGCTAGGAGGAACAGCTGGAAGTGACTAGAAACGGTTTGTTGAAGTGATGTAGGTGTGGAAGGCGTGTGAAAGGCTTTTGTTTAATGTAGAAAGGTTGTGAATTCAAACCACAGCAAGTAATTTTTATGAATGTCATCAGCACACCCATTAATTCATGCCTGATTTTGAAAAAAGAAACAGGAAAGTTTGTTGCTCTCTGAAAGTGGTCAGCATGCTAAAAATCGGGCAAAGATGTCTGTTGCCATACTGGAACATGGATGGCAGACAAATATGAAGATATGAGACAAGACAAGGCTCTAATTTATTGTTTTGTCTTTTACTCTGATGCAGTGAATCGTGATTCCTTTCATTCCTTTTATATGTGATGGTCACTGAATCAAAACCATAATTGTACAAAACATTATGGTACATGTACAATGTACATATGGTACATGAATTATAGTAAACAATGTGAGGTGAATGCAGTAATAGAAGATTCAGTCCAGTGGCTAAGTAGCCTATTGTGATTGTGTAACAAAATTATAAGTTTTTGCAATAGACAGATCCATGTCTTGAGTCCCCAAAACATTAAAAATGCAACATCTTTTTTTTTAATTGCAAATATTTGACAGACATGCTGTATTCTCTCATTGGGGGAATTCGACCACTTATTGCCATTTTCTGAAGGTTGTAGTCTTTAATCATTTAGAAACAAAATTAATGAGCAAATATATTTACTAATATTAACTTTCAGTATGTGTTAGAAGTATAAGTTTACTATAAAAAATAACTTAGCTTGAAGTTCCTGTTGAATAGAAAGTTAAGAAAAGTAACTTTCAAAGACTGACTTTGACATCTTTTTCTTGTCCTCTTTCTTTGGTTTGATGGTAGATGATGAGGGCCCAGTCTCCTCTGTAAATTCATAGATGTTCTTGTCTGGACCTGCTGAAAATTAAGTAAAAAAATTAAGTAATTGGATGTCATTAAGGTTGTACAATGATTAGAATTTTGCCTGTCGCAACAATATCTTTTCCAACACATTCAACATTTAAAAACTATAGACTGTGAGGTTGTCGTCCTTAAAATATGCAAATATGGTCTCAAAAGTCTGCCAATACATTGCTGTTTTTGTGCAAGCGCAGTATGTGCATTTTTTAACATTCTGATGTCATTTAGTGTGTTGTGCACGTCAATATTTATAAGTCATGACGTATGACTGCTGTTTCATCTGTGAAGTGATTATAGTAGAATGATTGAATGGTCTACGGACGTCAAGTATTGTGTTGTGCACACCAATATTCAAAGGAATATGTACAAGCTACATGTATAATATAATATGACAGTCACTGTAAAATTTGACAGACTGATAAATTGTCAAATAAATACCCAAGGGGAAATGAAAGTTGACAAATACGCCCCCTCCTCACATGCATGTGCCGGTGCATGTGCGTCACTTTGCACAAGTCTAATATCAAAAAGGGAAATTGAGAATATGACTTTATGAATTAGTCAAATGTTACAGATTGCATATTGCCATGAGCAGCCATATCTTTTCTTCACAAAATAAGACTGCAGATTTGTATATCTCCATGTATAAAAACCCATTTATATTTAGCATAATTTTACTTTCATTATCGGAGATAATAGTGTCCTTTTTCTGTATAAATTATCAAATTAATTGTTGTGAATCTCCAAAATTTAGCTTTCGACAACATTTTCTTGATTTGTCACAATAATCTAGTTGATGATTTGAAATGCACACGTGCAGTGTGATACTTTGTGAAATGGAACAAATTAAATGCATTTTACTTTCAACATGTCCAGCCTCATGTGTATTAATTATCATAGGACAACACATACTGGTAGTCTTCAGCTTTTTCTTCTTCTTAATCTTCTTGCTCTTCTCGTAGACGGCACCACCAGTACCCTCCCCAGCCATGGATTCAGAGTACACCAGCTGCTTGGGATGAAGTTTCTTTTTCTTACTTCTTGGTTTGGCGGGTTTCTTGGGAGTGTGGCACTTGGGGGTGTTGTGTTCCGAGGTAGCAGGGGTCTTGTCAGGAACATCTTTCGCACTGTATAAAGAGTACAACATTTTTTTTGAAACAAGGAATCAAAGATCTCATTATACCTTTCTGAAGAATTAAGAGTTTTTGTGAATTCTTATAATACTATTGGGAGTTTTTTGATGATTTTACCTTAATATTTTCCCACTGGCTCCCATAACTACTACTGTAACAAGGAAACACAAGCAAACACACAGACACACTGAATACAAAGCCCTGACAGTATATGGACGTAACACTATTTATTCTAAACATGTTTCTTTGGTCTATCATTTCAGATATTGTAGCAGAGAATAACAAAATATTCAGCCTGTTAGTGTTACGAGAAAACAGTACATAAACATACTCATGCTCTCCTGTTTCACCATGTTTTGCTTTCAAGCTCTCTGATCCTTCTCCTTCCACAACTATATGAAAACAAGACAAAGTATTACAAAATTAATCATGAAAATTAATGTTTGTGGTGGTAGCTTCAACAATGAACCCAGAAACCATGATTATGTCCTCTCAACTTCTATTGTGAAATGAAGTCTAAATGAACTTAAAATGCATTACAATCTTCAAAAGCTATGTATTTTGCAATCTACCCTTAGGGTCATAGTCCCACATTTATTCTTCAAATAGACAAGGTTGAAAAAGATGTACCTTGTTTAGCATCCACTGCTAGAGATTCAAAGTCATCAGCTGAGGCAACTCCTACTGAATCAGCCTTCTCGGCAGCTGAAGAGTCTTCTGGATATAACATTGAAATTTGACAGTTACTGGATTGTAATGAAATTCATGTTTGAATATGAGTTTGTGTTAAAGATTTGTACCTTTAAGTACAAAAGGACACAACATGCTGTGAAACTGCACGTAACTTGAACTTGAAAGGGTCTTATCTTAAAACAAAATTAGAAAAAAAAAATAAACCCTACAAAATTTTCAGATCATAGGAAAACTCATGAGAATTCAGGTTTAACTTGTGATAAGTTTTCCTATTCACAAAACAGGCCACCACCAACTTAACAAACCTTCTTGCAAAGTTGCAACTGTGGCAATAATAAACTGCCATGGTAACCTGAACCTTCGGATACAATGATATACCTGGGGGCTTGCTGAGAACAGCTGTGAACAAGTCATCCCACTCTTCCTGACTTAGGGAAGATGACACTTTTCCTGTCTAGGAGACAATACTGGGCTTTCAACTCGCTGCCTAGCTACATGTATACAAAGTATACATGTTCATAACATTTCTTTACATGTAAACAAACTTATCTTATAATGTTACCACAAATGGACATAAGGAAAATGGTCATCATTACAGACAAGAATTTTAATGCTTTTGGGAACTCATGATCACTAGAATATGCCTGGGTACACTTTAGCCAGGAGTGGATTCGAACCTGCTATACCTGTAATGTCCTTGGTACTGAAAAGCTATTACACAAACCTGACAACATTTCACAAACTTCAAGTCTTTTAAATTACAAATTCAATGCTCAACTAACCTTTTGGTCACTGATTCTTGACTTCTCTAGATCTTGAAACTCCTTCTCTTTTCCATTGTCCAACTTCTGGCTCCTTTCTTCCAACCTGTCTTCTGGATATAGATGACATCATCATAGTCAATATTATATGTTGTAATGCCTCGTCTTGTTTTGTTTTGTCAGGAGGGCCAAACCTTAATCATAATGTAATAGCCACAGGCTACTTGGGCTGTACTGGCTGTGTACAGAACAACCAAATCAATATATGAATTATAATCATACTCAATTACCAGCCTTGTAAGTATTGTATTAGTCTCTTGCACAGACTTCTAGCGGGATACTACTTATATCTATGAGTGCCTTGAGTGGCCACTGGCTACAGCAGTGTTTTCTTTTGGGGGAAGGGCTAGAAGTCTAGAGGCTAAAGCTGGTTCACAGTTTGACAAATGTGTATCAAATAGTACATGGTTCATTACATTGGGTAACAATTTGTCAAAGTTGAAGATCTCTGAGACATAAACAAAGCTTATGGTATCCAGCATTATGGTCTAACTGTTTACAAGTTAGGGGGTTTCTTATTTGACCTCACATAGTTCAAACCAGTGGCACATTAGTAAGCGATGGCCTTCTCCTTTGCAATATAAGTCAAATTCTGTACATACAGAGAGCAATATTAGGTTTGAGCCCTGCTCAGGCATGGCGTGAGGGGTTGCAAAGATGCCAAGCTTCTGCCGATGGAAGAACCCAAAGCATTTGTTGAGAAAAGGGGTGGCCAGATATGCATGACTAAAAACACGTGCCATGGTTTTGCTGCAAAATTACTAGCTAATGTTATGAAAAACTTAAACTTTTCTCCAACTCAAAATTTGACTCACCAGAAATTTTCGACTGAATCACTCAGTCTTCCTCAGCTATCTGACCCAAATGCTGTGGACACGTGATTTTTCCCACGTGTGACGTCAGCAAAGGGTCAAAGGTTGTCTGAAGTCGATATCGCCCCCCGTCCCTTTGCTGACGTCACACGTGGGAAAAATCACGTGTCCACAGCATTTGAGTCAGATAGCTGAGGAAGACTGAGTGATTCAGTCGAAAATTTCTGGTGAGTCAAATTTTGAGTTGGAGAAAAGTTTAAGTTTTTCATAATGTAATTTACCAACTCAGATGAACTTTCATGCTGATGTTTCTAGCGAATGATTTGTAAGAGCATCCTACTTTGTAGAGTATGCACTTTGTATCATATGCAGTAACAATTTTTATCTAAAAAAAAAACAAATTACACTAAAAAATTGAAATATACAACAAATTGTGCAGTAAATCACCACCACCTGCCATGACAATTGCACCTGTTGTTGAAGAGCCCCCTAGTGTACCACTGCAGAACTGCAACATTCCCACATTACCTGTCACTGTACAGGTCCCAGTTGGAGAGGCTGGTAGCCCCAAGTCCGCCAGATCTGGAGATGACGGTCCATTTCCTTGTGGGCTGCTGGGCACTTCTTGGTCATCATCTATTCTTTCATTGCTGAAGTTGAGATCTAGAGTTGGACCTAAAACATTGTTATTGCAGTAATGCATCAAATTAATGAGTTTGTCGCAAAATTTTGAGTCTCAGCGCCGCAGGATACGACAGTTCACAAAGAGACTTGATTTGATTTGATTTATTGAAATTGCAACAGTGCAATACACACGGAACACAGGCAGCTGTTGCTGGTGTTACATGTCCCGCACATAGAAACGAATACTGGACAAACAATACTCATTTTCACATGAGTCTAGTGGGGAAAGTCATGTAAACTGCCTTTCCCAAGGGCACAAGATCGGTGGCATTTCAGGACTCGAACCCGGGACCTCTTGATTCCGAGTCGCGCACGCTGCCGTTGCGCCACACGACCCCCCAGACTTTGATTTTGAATTGGAAAAAAATCTCTTTAAATCTCTTAAACAACAGAATTGATCCCTATGACTTTATGCTTTCCAGTTGTACTAGTACATGTACAATCATGCATTTTGGATTTTTAAATGTACAGCCAGGAAGTGTTCGTTTAAAAGATTTTGGTGTTATCTGGCATTCGACTACACAATGCAAAGAATTTTTTCATATAACTCTTAACCCTGATAAACTCATGCAGAATAAGAAATAACTTACGAGTTGGGACAAAAGCGACCAATTATGCCTTACAAAGAATTTCTCGTCAACCCTTAAAATGAAATTAAAGCAGCCACCACACCTCACAGAAAAAAAGGTGTATACAGAGCCTTGATCTTCCTACCAGGGCAATATGTTTCCCACAGTTCTCTATTTTATGCTTAGTAAGTCTGTTTGAATCGTTCCTTGCACAAGTCTACCTAAGGCCACACCGACTTAATTTTTATGGATGACATCCTCTGAAGACCCCCAAACTAGTGCGCGCGGGCGAATAAAAAAAAAATTCTGGCCAAAAATAAAAATGCTACTAAACCACAGGAATATAAAGCTTGTATTGTGAATTTGCGGCAGTACATAGCAAGTGCTGGCTTTTTGTGGAATTTATGAATCAGCAGTGTACGTATGTACTGCGTTCTTGAGTCGTGGAGCTTCGGCAGCCTGGGTGCCATCCTCCATAGCTACCACAGGCTTCGTATTGTCGCTAACTACCATAGACTACCCAGGCTTAGAGCTAGGCTAGAGCCTCTGAGGACGTGATCTTTTTTTTTTTTTGAGGACAGGTGAAAATCAATGCGCGCGGATGTCATCCATAAAATTAAGTCGGCGTGGCCTAATCAACATTGACTTGACCAGCACCAGTTCAGGTCAAGTCAATGTTGAATAGGTAGACTTGTGCAAGGAACTATTCAAAGAGACTTACTAAGCATAAAATAGAGAACTGTGGGAAACATATGAAAATAAAAATTTTAATTTATATTTACCTGTTGCAGGGGTCTTGAAGGAAGTCTTCAGCTTTATCAAATCCATGATTTGTGGCCTGGTTGCTAAACTCATGGAACAGCAGCTGGCCTATTAAATAGAAATAGAAAAATTCGAATTCCTCATGAAACTTGACAAACCATGTATCACTAGCTCAACATGTTCGTACATCTTTAACTGCGTCAAGAAGCGAGAAGAAGCTGAACCTGTAAATAGTAGATCACATTAGTATGTATATTTTGTAAGTGTCATTGCTGTATTCTTTTTCACTGTTTATCCATGACCTGTACACTTAGCTTGTTAGAGCACAAATGTACAATAAAGGTCTTTTTTACATTCACTTCTTAAATCTCTAATTTAAAGAAAAAATATTAACATATATGACTACAAACGTTTGTAAGAAATAGTGGTGTAGTTACTCGACTTTAACTGAATTCAGTGACAATCAAGCACGAGCGTCATTGTTTCTGCCAAACAACACATTAAAGCCACCAGAAAGAGTGTATCTCACCTCTGACCTCCAGTGGTATGCAATAGCTTAAAAATTCCGGTCAAAATCGTTTCTTTTTCTGCCAAATTCTGTTATCTAATTCGTATGAAGGCTTTGGATTTTGTGTCGCTACCAATTATTTCATTTTTTTGGCAATTAAATCATAGAAACTGAGAGAACCCCATACCTTTTCCAAGACCTGAAGACAGGCCTGTACGATCTTGCCTGTCCCCTTGTGACTGCGATTAGGAATACCAAAATATGGCTGTCCACTTGGCTTTAGCTCAAAGAAAACGGACTCTACGTCAAAATTCTACAAGCTCTGATCAATTACAGATCTGAAAATGACAACAATTACGGTCAAATACGAGCGCAAGCGATGTGAAGTCCGAAAATGACTCCCTGTCAAATTTCCCGCCGATTTTAGGAGGTGGACTGCTACACATTCTTGGGAGGGGGGACGGAAGTTACCTCTTTGAGAATCCTTTAGCAGAAATCGTGCAAATAAAGCCAGAATCATCGAATAATTCACATCTTGATTTGTATTACTTGTTGCAGTGGCTCAAGTTACTGTGGTTATAAAAAATTTCAATTGTTTTGACTGAAACGAATTTTACCCCTATGGTGGTATACATGGTATCACCCAAACCAATCTCACAACGTTGACGTAAACAAGTAACTTTATGCTCAAAGTATGCAAAACTGGTACACGTGAATCCTATAGGTTTCCTCAGAATAGTCGTAAAATTTCTTAATCTCTTAACTTTGATACATGACAATCAATACGATATATGGTAAATTGAGGAAATATTGTGCAAAACATTCCGAATGCCATTTTATCTCATCGGCGCCATATTTTGGCAAATTGACCCCCTCTGACCCTAAATACAATATGGCAAATTTTTGGCAAAATGACATAATTTCAAGCCTTTCAAATCAGCAGAAGGCATGTCATGACTTGTCTCTTCATGATGAAATCACGTCATCCAGAAATAGTCAATAAATAATAAAGCCATTTTTGGAGGCTGGAGGTTAGATGTAGTGGTATGCAAATTAGATAGCATCCACATGCAAAGAAAAAAACATATCAGCGTCATAATACTGACATACTCATACTATTTTATCAAAACGAGCATAAGCAGCATCGATAACTGTTTCTTATGATATCAATTGAAATTTTGCGAAGCCACAAGACCTGAAATTGGAGGCTGAATTAATGTCGGTTTTTGTTGTTCTGCTGTGGTGTTTGGGCCTTTCATGACGCAGGCCCTCAGGTCTGCAGAACGTCTGGACCACGTCTAGTGTTCACATCGAGAGGACGGAAAAATTCACATTCCTTCCGATTTTGGCTCAAACTCACCAGTTTTGTCAGTTTTTCGGACTAGGGGGACGTTATTTCGTACATATTTGCCGTCAATCCTCGGCAAATGTTGTTCATTTAGAAGATTTCGGGCGTTGTTTGGGCTCGAGTCGGGGCCCAACCTCCTAGGCTTGTTTGCTTTCTTGTCCATACTTTGGATATTCAATATTCAGAATATGCTAATTAGCGAGTAGGGCGCGAGTTTCAAATTTTGCAGTTTGCGGGAGAAGGACCATGGCTGCCACGGAAAGTATCGTGGCAAGCAAAGAGGTGGATGTTTCAATGGACATTTTGGATGGCAAGAAAACTCTTGTTGAAGTTGTAGAGGAGGTAGAAGGAGAGGAGCTAGCCAATCACGGTAGAGATGACCCAACCGCACTGGACGCAAGAGGAGATGGGCACAGTTTTCTGCCCAATCAGGAGAAAGAGGGTAAAAATGGCGCGGCCAGGCCAGCGAATCATCACGCGGAGAGAAACCAACCGGCCGGAAGGGGACATTTCAAACGACGACATGCCAGCTCGTCCCACTTCAAACGCGGGGGAGCCCACGGACCACACCACTTGAAATGGAGACGAAAAACGGTGGAAACAGAGCCTATTGTACTGCCTAGTGACTTCTTGCTGGGTGGGAGTATTACCGATCCACTGAACCTCAACAGCATGCAGGATGAAGAAGTAAATCGCATGCTGAACGCGGAAACCCCAAAGTCATCCCCCCTCCCAAACCGTACTGTAGTTGGAGATGTTGGACTTATTATTCCAGGAGATGTTACGGACCCCTTGCATCTGAACCAGGAGACTCCCAAAAGCGGTAAAAAGCGTAGGCACAAGCGCAGGCGGAGAAGAAGCGAGGGCGATTTGGACGACTCGGAGCACTACATTGAGGAGGAAACTGCAGAAGGAATCGAAAGTAAACCTCTTTTTACAGACTCCAAGGAAACTATTTCCAAAGAAGGCTTTCCTGAGCAAATCCCAGGAGGAAAAGACAAGGACAGAGTCTCACCGAAGGAGAAAGTATCACCAGTCTCGCTTTCCCACAGTCACAAGCGAACGCGAACCAACAGTGGAAGAACAGACGAAGGACAGGTTACCCCATCCTCCGATACAAATCACACTCCAAAGCGTCGCTCCAAAAGCGGAGAGAAGGAAATGATTTCGATGGAGGAAATTGTTTCGCCAGTCATATCTCCGGACCACGAGAAAAGACGAGGTGTTGAGCCAACCAGGATCGTTTCCCGCGCCCTTCTCATCGAGAATCACCCCTCGTCGAAAGAACACCGTTCGCATCGCCGAACCCCTGACAAGGGCAGAGGGAACCATGTTGGTAGCCAGCACAAGAAACTACCAGACCAAGGGGTGGCAGCTCCGCGCTTTCGTACAAAGGACCAGCTTTTCCAATATGGCAACTACGACCGCTACTACGGTTACCGCAACCCTGCAAAGGAAGAAGATGTCCGCTTGAGCTATTTCAGACCGGATTGGTTCAAGGGTTTGGACGTGCTGGACATTGGGTGCAACGCTGGACACCTAACACTTAGCATAGCGAGAGACTATGCTCCGAGGAAGATAGTAGGAATGGACATAGACCAGAATCTCATTCGCGTGGCACGACGCAATATCAGACACTACCTTGCTCCCGAGGCGCGGGATTCGTTCCCGGTTTCCATGGCGATACAGTATGGTCCAATGGCAGCGGGAGGGCTGGTCGGTGAACAGGAGGCGAAACAGTTTCCTAACAATGTGTTTTTCACACAGGTGAGTCAATGCTTTATCCAGGGTTGGACAAGTTTTTAAAAATCCTCTTGCCCTATCGGGCAAGTACATGGTCATTTCCACTTGCCCAAACCACCTTTTCACTTGCTCAAAATATACATGACATTTTTATGCATTCTTACTACCTGCATCTTATTTTAGAGAGTATAATGATGCATACTTTATTTATCAAAATAATGTGGTTTGAGACTTGCAATGGATTTTCTGACAAAAGGACATTAATATAATATCAATTTGGCAAAATGATGAGTTTTCATCAAAACACCATAGCAGCTATACTTTGCATCCAAAAAATTTACTTGCCCAATCGGGCAAGTACAGGGGGATATTTACTTGCCCGAACAGTGCTTTTACTTGCCCCGGGCAAGTGGGCAATGGGACTTGTCCAACCCTGTTTATCTAACAGTAGTTTTTTTTTTTTATATTCTAACATGTAATCACAAAATGTGGTGACGGCATGCTCAAGTTTTTTCAACTTATATTAATGCCACCACCAACACGGGAAGGTGCAGTACTTATTTTCACCTGAGGGAAATGAGCAAAGTCGTGTAAAGTGCCTTTCCCAAGGGCACAAGATCGGTGGCATGTCAGGACTCGAACCCGAGACCTTTTGGTTCCGAGTCAAGCACTCTATATAGGGAAAATTGCTTCTCAAAGATAGAGTCTTTGAAAATTTATCAGAAAGAAAGCCTGGGAAAAAATACTCCTAAGTATAGTTAAAGAACTAAAAGTGTCATGACACTTTTACTTTTTTTTTTTAGATCAATATTGCTTAAATAGATACAGGTCCAGACCTGTACCTAAACCTATATGTACTTGTACGTACTTGTACCTACATGTAATTTAAAATTTGTTTCCGCAGCACTAGCATTATGCATTTGATAGATGGGAAAACCATAACAACTAGAAAGAAAAGGACTTTTTTTCAAGTGTTGGGAGTAAAATATGATTATTTTTTTTTGCAAATCAAAAAAAAATTAAGAGAGGACTCCGAGAACCAAGAAATTAAATTGGGGTGGCCTTAGCCAGTTTTTTCAGAGACTTAAACAACTTCCACCTTTCCAGGCTAAGTTTTTAGTTGATTCAATTTTATTATTTTTATTTTTTTGCAAAATCAAAAAAAAGTGAAGAGGGGAATCCGAGAACCAAATTAAATTGGGGTGTCCTTTATAGCCAGTTTTTTTAAGAGACTTTAAAGGCATCCAGTGCAGTTTTTAGATCTTGGAAACCTGATTTTTCAAAGCCAATATTCTAGTCTACATACTGAGTTGAAATCACACTATCCCAGTGTATATTGACCCTCACAGAGCAAAAATTCCCAACGTTCTGACAGAAAATGGTTACTGAAATGGCCCTGGGCTGATTTTTAGGGTACCACCCTGAAAATAAAGGACTCACCTTGGGGCTTGTTTCTGCAGTTTTAAATGCCCAAAGTATGAAATGCTGATGTGCTAATGTGAAGCAGTATATGTCAATATCACCTAGATTGCATACATTACAATATTTCCATTTTTGCTGCCCTAAAATCGCATTGGATTCCACCTTTCCAGGCTAACTACGTCCCAGACAGCGAGTCCCGTGTTCAGGCCCAGCAGCCCCAGTATGACGTCATCCTGGCCCTCAGTCTCACCAAGTGGATCCATCTGAACTGGGGGGACGCCGGCATGAAGCGAACCTTCCAGCGCGTGTTCCGACAGCTTCGCCCCGGCGGGCGCTTCATCGTGGAACCACAGCCCTGGAAGTCTTACGGACGCAAGAAGAAACTGACGGTGAGTTATACGCCACATGTGCATTGTAATATTGTAGTATGTACACATCCTACATTGTACATACATGTAGTACATACCTGTGTTACCTTCAATTAAGTTTTGTTATATAGATTATTGTCTTTGCACATGTATTTGAGCCTTCGGCTTCATTTTTAAGTAACTGTTAAACAACAAGGTTTTTCTTTTTTCTCAAACTTGGATGATGTTACTTAACTTTTGTTAAGAGTAGTAAAGAAAAAGGGATTTCGACAAGTGTTTTTTCTTTTCTACAGGACCAGTATCAAAACAATTTTTCAGGAACAGGTTAGGATACGCAGCCTTATGTAATGCTTTAAATTACAATTGTCCTATTGTCTGGGGCTAGCTCTATGTAATAGCCATTGGCTGGTTCCAATGTTTGTAACCTTACTTCTTTTCTCCTGGAAATTGTAGGAACGGATCTTCACCAACTACAAGCAGATCCAGTTCCGGCCGCACCAGTTTGTGGAGTACCTGCTGTCGGCAGATGTCGGCTTCAGCAGCTGTAGACAGCTGGAGGGGCCACGCAACAAGTCTAAAGGTGAGGCAGGGGCAGAGTGGGTGAGTGAGTGAGTGAGTGAGTGAGGAAGGATTGAGTGAATGAATGAATGAGCAAGGGATGGATTGAGAGTGAGTGAGTGAGGAAGGAGTGAATGAGTAAGTGACTGAGGAGTGATTGAGGAGTGATTGTGTGAATGAGTGACTTACTGACTGAGGAGTGAGTGACTGAGGATATAAGTGAGTAAGGAGTGATTGCGCGAGTGAGTGAGCGAGCGAGTGAGGAGTGAATGAGTGAGTGACTTAGTGACTGAGTGAGTGAGGACTGAGTGAGTGAGTGAGGAGTGAATGGGTGAGTGAGTCAGTGAGTGTGAGAGTGAATGAGGGAGTGAGTGAGGAGTGTGACTGAGTGAGTGAATGAGTGAGCAAGGGAGGGATTGAGAGAGTGAGTGAGTGAGCGAGTGAGTGAGTGAGGAAGGAGTGACCGAGGAGTGATTGTGTGAATGAGTGACTTAGTGACTGAGGAGTGAGTGACTGAGGATATAAGTGAGTGAAGAGTGATTGTGTAAGTGAGTGAGTGTGTGAGAGTGAGTGAGGAGTGAATGAGGGAGTGAGTGAGTGAATGAGTGAGCAAGGGAGGGATTGAGAGTGAGTGAGTCAGTAAGGAGTGAGGAGTGAGTGAATGAGTGAGCAAGGGAGGGATTGAGAGTGAGTGAGTCAGTAAGGAGTGAGGAGTGAGTGGGTGAGTGAGTTCAGGTGATTGGGGAGTGAATGAGAGAGTGAGTGAGTGAGGAGTGAGTGTGTGAGCAGTGAGTGAGTGAGTGAGTGGGGAGTGAGTGAGTCAGTGACTTCGTGAGTGAGTGAGGAAGGAGTGAATGAGGAGAGTGACTGAGGATATAAGTGAGTGAGGAGTGATTGTGTGAGTGAGCTTGCATCAAGACAAGTTTGGCACTTGACAAATGTTGCATGTTAGTTTTATTTTTGTTACAAAATTGAGATGACGGAAAAAAATTCAGGCTGGCTAGAACATTCAACAAGGTACTTTGAGCTTTGATCCCCTGAGATCCTTTCTAGCGGTGTGTGAGTTAGTTGGACTTGGATTAGAACTCCCAACCTCTTGGTCCATGTGTAGGGTTGCTAACCACTGAACTGTGCCTGCTTTGCTCTGTATGTCTTGTCGAAAAACTGACTCCTGTATTTTTTTTTGCCCAGGTTTCAACCGACCAGTGTACATGTTGACCAAGGCCACAGCTGCTCCCCCTTGAGACCACAAGCAGTACTGCAGATCACACTGCCACAGATCCTATCCATACAGCTTAGAGATTTGAAATCACGATATTCACCTCAAGACTCAAGTTTTCTTCTGTTCTATTCTTTCTTGATACAAAAGTAAATATCTTAAGTTTCACACTTTTTTGTAGTTGAATATATTAGTTGAGAGACATATTTTATTTTCTTTTTTCTTGAAAAAAAAAAAGGATTTTGGTATGCCGCCACCTACATGTACAATAGCAAGGAATCAACAAGTTGTGATGTGTTGAAAAAATTATATCATTTCAGTTTCATCTTTGTCAAAGAAACATTCTTGGTGAATGATCATGCATGTACATGTACAATTGTTTTTTTTTTTAAGCTGAAGGAAAAAAAGTTAGGAAATTGTAGTCCCTGTATCATTCTTCAACCCGTTCCTTAGTTCTAGGTGGTTATTGAGTTTCTAAATACTGTAAAATGTCGAAACTTTTACAGTGGTTTTGAGTTTTTACTGTGACTCCTCCGCTGTAAATTCATTACTTTGCAAATAATCATTCTCTCCCTTGTCTGACTATTATACTACAGAACTGTTTCAGCTGCAAATTTAAAAAATCGCCTAAAACTTCTTTTCCATCCTACCATGAAATGAAACCACTGCAAAAGTAAATATATTTACAGTATTTAAGCTCTTTTTGGGCATTGCTGCAACTAAACACTTGTCACTTCAAAGTTTAAACAGTGTTAAGAATTGACAAATCCCATTGCCTCACCAAGTTGTATCCCCACCCTTATTGGTTGCATTGTTTTTGATTGACGGGCCAAATTCCAAAGTCAAATATCTACATAAGACATGTATATGTCATGACAGAATTAAAGGTTCTATTGAAGGTGCAATCTATTTCAAAAGAAACGTCACTGATTATTCAGTTAAAAGAATGTTCCGCAATTTTAATTTTTTTTTCTTTCTAAATTTGAAGTGGCCAGTGAGAATTAAACTTTGAATGCATACAGCAACTTTGGATAGCTTAGCTATATATGTGTATAGTAAGAATGAAATTCTACATTGCCTAAATTACCAGAGCTTTAAACAAACTGAAGAATTTAAAACTCATGTCTGCTTTCCTACAACTAAAGTACATTATTGTATTTTGTGTTATGTCTCTTCAAAATTCGGAAAGAAAACAAAAAAAAAAGTTTATTTTTATGGCAGCTATGGATCTGAAAGTAAAGTTTTATTTCAGTTTTTGGAGAAAAGAAAAATATTTTTGTAGGCAATGAAAGAAAAAAAAGGAGAAAAAAGTGGCTGGTAAGATAGGCATTGTACCTTGCATATCTGTAAAGTATAATTGTTTTTGCATCAGTGCATAGTCGAAATAATGAAGAATGTTTTCCTGAAGGCATTTCCATGGAAAGGAGTAGAAACATGCAATTTTCTAATACCAATGAAATTAAAAAACAAAATCTTCCACTTAAAGGTTGAAAATGTAGGTAGCTTTCTGTCCAAAATAAAATAGAGACAAAATATGATTGCCAATGGTCAAAATTGAGTGGCTTCTAAGATTGTTAAACTTTGTCCTTGATAATATAAGAAATTTGAAGTCATTCCATGTTACAGAAATTGTATAGTTTTTCTCCAATAGACCCATTCGACTTTCACAGATCGCATAATTTTCCTACGTCACAGGGGGGACATTTCGAAAGAACGTCATTCTAGAACGCTGAAGTCGAACGGAGCTTGCGCTCTCGGTGTCCCCCCTGTTAGATCATTTTTTTACTGAAAGGTAGGTAAGTGTCTATTTTCTTGGTAATATATGCGGACATGACAGGAAAACAGGCACCAACTTTGTATGGTGGCATTCCGTACAGCAATTTAAGGTTATTTTGTTTGTGACGTATGCAGTTTATGCGATCCGTGAAAGGAACTTTCGAAATGTCCCCCCTGTGAAGTAGTTTCTATTCGAAATGTCCCCCCTGTGACGTAAGCAGTTAATGCGATCCGTGAAAGTCGAATGGGTCTATTCAGTATCAAACTTGTTTGAGTATCACAGAAAAAAAGTCCAGCAATCAGTAAAGCTACATGTGGTGTGTACAATGTTAGACCATTTGCCTGTGGACATTGTAATTCTGGTGGGCACCATAGAAGACCACATTGCTGAGGGTACTGGTAGAAAAATGCTGTGTCGTCATTGCATCACTGACAAATTACAGCAATATATCTACAATGCTATCCCTTCATTGAAGTTGATCTCTGTGTGATCTTTTCTTATATCATGAGATTCTCTTTTTGCTGAGATACATTTTCGATGGATGCTCTGTTGTTCATTTGAACATTGGTTGTTGGAGACATTACCATCTCTGTACCCCTTGGGCCACACAGTTTTGCATGTGCTACAGCAGAGGACTAGATGTATGCTCAACTTCAAAGTCTATTCTTGAGAGTTTTTGAGTGATAATCAAAAATCTGGGTTTGAATTGATTAAACAGTACAATTGTAACGTTAACGTTACAAAATGTACATTTGCTTGGCAGTCACATGGTGGGGGTGATACAGTGGTTTTATTGCACAAAATTGCTTGACTCTCTAACTCTCCTAATCTGAATTGATGTTTGTTAAACAAGGATAAAACATGTTTTTATTACTCAAACACTTTGTGTTTTTCATATAAAAAAAAGGTGACCAGCCCCTCCAACTCTGTTCTGCTACATATAAATGTCATCCAACACCACAGATAACGGTCTGGTTCAGGTCATTTACCTCATGCGGAACGGAAGAAAAAGAGGACGAGCAAAAATAACACTTTCCTTCTGTGAAAGTGAAGTTTTAACATATCATGACTCCTCGACACTGCATTTCCCCAGTCGGCCGCCAGATGGCGTTGTTGACTATACCTACCTCAGCAGCAAAATGGTTGGTTCCGTTTCCCACAATCCCTGTGAAGGAGGTCCATGATGGCGGACTACGAGTCGATCGTCTGCGTAAAGCCGGAGGTTTTCGTCTACAGAATCCCTCCGCGGCCTTCTAACAGGGGATACAGGTGAGGCAAGCTAGATAACCCTCCTAGGAACGCCACCCGTCGTTTCTGTAGAGGTTCGCGTGCTCGTTTTGGAAGGAGCGCCCCAGAATTTAGCGGTCAACATCCGGTCAAAATTTTTGGTAGGCGGGCCCTGTCTGAGGGGAGGGGCCGTCCGTGACGTTTGTCGCAGTTTGTCGACAAAATTGTGGTTATTCAGGTCCTCAACACTCTTGTATACGTGTTCTTTGTAATTGGTATCCCATTGTTCATTCTAGGCACCTAGAGTTAAATACCTAGAGAGATTTTTGACTCTGAACTGAACCATGCGAAAATGAGCACCAAGAGACCACGTCTAGCGATATATTAGAAGTAAAACAAGGACAACAACAACAATAATTTTATTCCGTGAAGTACCACACTCAGTTAAATTATGTCAAAATTAAATACAGAAATCGCTCAGTGTTCACTCCAGGAGCAAAGATGCATGTTTAACTTTAAACCCCCTTACTTTAAAATTATTGACTTGCATCTATAGATAATTTCATAACCCAAAATTATATATAACGTTAACGTTAACGTTATACAATGAATTGTGATTTCGTAAAAATCTCATCTGATCTCAATACTACATATATGACTGTGGACTTGAACAACAAACGTTATTTATAGACTATTCCTGACATGACTTCTTTTGTAATTTAAAATGAAGTAACCTATGAACCAAATTTTTGCATTGAAAAAAATACTATAACGTTACATTGTGTAAGATACAAACATGTAACGTTTTGTGCATCTGAATTTTGCTGGTTTAAATACAGGTAAATAGAGAACATTAAAACTAACAGATGATAAAATCAATTGAAAGTTATGATGGGTATGATTTCAGTAATTTTTTCACCCTGTTGCTTCATATTTTTTTCTGCAACAACTGAGAACCAACAAATTAAATTGGTGTGGCCTAACTATAGAAATCCCCATAGGGCAAAAACTGTGTTGCAGCTGATAACCCTATAACAAGGGTGAAACAAGGTGACCCTCTCTGATTAGATTAGATGGATGTTTCATCTCTCCAGAGGTCACTAAAACTCAATCAGTGACTGATGAACCAACATTCATCAACTGTTAACATTCACAAGTAGTGATGCATACCGGTTCACTGGACTTGGATCCGGCCTTGTAAGAATGTTTAGGTTCAAGTAAAAAAAACCTAAAAGTCAAGAACTGAGTCCGGACTTATTACCATAAAAGACCATTTCGCATACCCCTTTTCTTTCCAAACCACCTAAAACCTTCCGTAGATTGAAAAATATTTGCTGCAAAATGAAGAAAACATTGCCATCAGGCATCGTCAAGTACCGGCCTCCATGTTATGTGGCCAAAGTTTCACCCAGACAACATTGCAAGGTTGCCAACATGCAATTTTGTATAATATTGTCATGGATGGACAAGTCTGCTTGATTATTATTACAATTCCAAGTGGGGTTATAAAATGTTCTCGGATTGGCTAGCACCCTATAGTTACTTGGGCTAATATATACATTACAATTTCAAGTGGGCCTGTAAAATGTTCTCTGATTGGCTGGTACCCAACTTGTGCTTTAAGGTCATTATGATTCCAATCAGGGTTATAAAATGTTCTCTGATTGGCTGGCACTCTGCTCAAGTTGGGTTTTGTTATTACTGTAAACTTCCTAATTTTTTCTCATTTCACGGTGCAAAATGTAGTATTGTTTTGTCTTCCTCCTGGTCTATGTAAGATGTACAATATTGCCATGCATAACCCTGGATTTTATCCAGTGTTCTAACCAAAAATTCAATATTTGGGCTCTGGATATTCCTATTCCGAAATTCCATAATTTCCACAGCCTGATAATGCATGAGCTACATTGTATATACATGTATATCGCATGACTTTATCACTGTTAATCCTTGCGGTTTTGAAGACAACAGTCGTACAGTTCCTGTTAGCTACTCTCATCTGCCAAATAAACATATATGGGTACGTTTATTTTTTTGGGCCCGAACATCCACCCAGTACGTTCTTATTTTGCACAGTACGTTTATTAATTTTTTGTAAAACCAGTAATTTTTTTCTAACTTCGTGTGAAAAAAATTGACAAATCATCGACGTG